AAACTATATATCTATTTAGCTATCTCTCCGTTTATTTACCTATGTATCTATCTGTCTATTTATCCGTCCCGACCGGCATCACCGGCATCGCCAACGTCTGGTCCAATCTTGATCATTTTTCAAAAAACATTGAAAAACGCAGCATTTCTAGGAGAAAAGTGCGCCTCCCCCCCCCAAAGCTAAAGCTTAGGATTTATCTAGCCGGATTCCTCGCGATGTTTACACGAGCCCACACAACGCCCTCGGCACCTCCGGTGCGGGCGGATTTCAGAACATGCCTAGACGGATCCAGGACAAATTGGTGGACACTCCAAAACAAGACCTGAAAGGACTTGGAGTCAACAATAGGATCCGACGAAGATGGCAGAGAGAAGGTGTCACCATCCATCTCTATACCGGGAAAAAGGAGGGCTACTACCTACAAAGAGCTGTTGAAGAAATGGGAGGAGATCTAACGAGGGTGTTCAAAGTGGACACACTGAGGAACATTTCCCACGACATGATGGCAGATGACGGCGTATACTCCTGTTTGCTGAGGATGGCTATGGATGGCGTGGTGGACGGGATCATCGGGGGTCCGAATTGTCGAGAGACATCCGCCATATGAAACGATGCCCGGTCCATCGAGAACAATCAATTATCCATGGGGTTGCCTCAGAATAGTGAGCGGAGCGCGCCAAGTGCTACATCGACGACGTCCTCCTCTACCGGATGATCCTCCTGCAGGTGGTTGCGCAAATGAAGAGAGATGTCAGGCTTGCACAGGACTCCAAGTCAGGGATGGACCCAAAGGCTCGAACAACCTGCAGAACCCCCTCAGGAGCCTACATGTGCTTCGTTTTGGAGGACGGGAGAATGGACGACTTTGAAGGCTATCCTGGGATTGGAATTCACTACATTCCAGCAGGGTGACTTTGGGGACCTAGCAGCAAAACAAACGTCTGTAGCCGTGAACTTCCAATTTCGACCTCCAGAAAGAAAACCAACGGAAAATGAAGGTGATGACATACTAGCCGGAGTACCCGGAGATGGAGATGAAGGTGCAGGTGATCAAATTCATATGGAAGAGGAAGTTCCAGTGGAATCTGAAGCAAAAGAACAGGATGATGAAGAAGAGTTCAAGAAGAAATACAAAACGAACAAGGTGGTGACAATGATGCTTTGCGTCCCGCTGTACTCCAAGAGCGCATCGGAGGTTCTGTCGGGCACTCAGGAGTTCTCGTCATGGATACCCGCTTGGGCGAATCCACTCAGATGCTGGGCGGGAGTTTGACAATGGACCGTTCAAGCGGTGGTGCATGGAAAGGGGATCTGCAAGGACACCTAATTGCCCAGATGAGCATGCCCAAAACGGACTAGCTGAAGCTGCCATCAACTCCATCAAGCAGAGGGTCCGCCGGTTGTTGCATGGGGCAGGAATGAAGACATATTGGTGGCCAATAGCTGCCTGCCACGTAGTGGAACTAGAACGGTGAAAAAGAGAAAAGATCACGGAACGGCTTCCCATATTCGGTCAACAGGTGAAGATAAAGAAGAGGTCCTGGGAACCACAGAGACAAGGAGCAATTGAGTCCACGGGGAGAGCAGATGACATACTTGACCCCAATCCCAGACGTCTCAATTAAGGGCCATGCAGTTCTGACGGACCGAGACACCATCAAGATTGTGAGCTACACGATCCAGGACATTAAGGAGCCAGTAGTCGATCAACATGAGCTGGAGTTGATAGAGGTTGATGCAGGCGGTGATCCAATTCGATTTAGGAAATACATTCGAGAAAAGGCGAGTGTCGCCTGCCTGCAGATTGCTGGAAAGAATCAACCTATTCAGAGTCGTGAACGATGAGGAGCAGAATCTGCTTGGGGCTCAACCACGAAAAATACCAGCCTTGCAGCGAGGACTCGCTCCTTTTCGAGCAGAACAAGAAGCGGAAGCAATGCGTCCTCTTGAAGATGAAGTGTTGCAGACTCGCATCATCCCCAATGAAGAGGTCTTCCAGAACAAGGCAGAATGAATTAAAATTATCATCAAACAAATCAAATCCCTTGAGGCAAAGGAGGCAATCAGGCGTCTGACTCCGTAGAACGTGGCGTATTACCGAAGGGAACATGCCGAGAAGCTTGAAATGGTTCTTGGCAAGGCAATTCACTCCATCAAAGCCCCGGATGCCCGCAAGAAATACCGCTTAGTAATATGTAGGAACTACCTCAACGGAGGAGCCACAAGACGCTGCCCAACTCTACGCTGGCGGAGCTGACACAACATGTCTACGAGCAGCTCTGGCGATTTCGGCGCTTCGAGACTGGACAGCAGCGATTCTAGATGTCAAAACGGCCTTTCTGAATGCACCACTATATACAATGGAAGAGAGCAAAAGAAAGAAGCTCCTAGCACTGGAAGATCGTGAAGGTGATGAACCGAAATCAAAGGAAAAAGACACGGAAGAAGAACCAGACCCAAATCAGAGGGAGCGTTTGGTCCTAATGCAGCCTCCCCGGATCTTA